AGAGTATATTTCACATGCATATACAAGGAAACTGGAGGAAGCTTGGAGGCCCTTTAGCCTGTTCCTGAGCCCGTTGAAACTGCAGATGCAGGCACAGATGCCAGGGGCGCCAATGTGAATCAGCCAGCATCCAAGGCCACATGACCACAAATGTGCAGAATCTCCTCTGCAATCGGTAGCTAAGGATGTTAGGCCATGACAGGTCTAGGATGGGAGATGAACTGGGAATAGATTCAGTAGGCTTTTGTTGCCTCTTCCCAGCCCCATGCATTTGACTCTGTGCTCTTGCCACAGGCAGCAGGGAGGCTTCCTGTGAACATCATCCCCACAGCCTACAGTTGCGTCACTCTCAGCCTCTTACACCCTCCTATGGCAGTGTCAGCCAGGACATCCAACCCTGAAAACTCAATGGTTCACACATGGGCAACATCACGTTGGGGTGAACAGACCCCCTCCTCTGATCTGCAGACAAATGCGTCCTACCTTCTGAACCTCTGCCAGCAACTGGAAGCTCTGGAAATTTCCAGACACACAACAGTCTTCTGAACTGCAGGCTGCTGCCCCATCCTATGGCAGAGTAGACCTTTTCTCCACTAGACTTGGCCTGTTATCCAGTTGAATGAAATGTCTTTTTAACATAGAAACTAGTGTTCTTTGTTTGTAGTGTGTACCTACAAACCCCATCACACGGTTTGTAGGTACACACCAGTCCCGAGTAAATACCACTGAATTGAGGCCTCAGGCCCTAGAGTGTGCACACTGGCTCAGCTTTCAGAAAACATCAAGGTACTGTTGGAAAGTCTGCAGACTTTATGCAGAAAAACAAAAATGAAAATAAAACAAGTGATGAACACACACATACACACACACACACACACACACACACACACACCCCCCATACTGACTAACGGGATCTCCCTCCAGGGGATTTTCAGAGAGGGGAGCAGAAAACATCCCAGGGGTCTTACACAGCTACTTCCTTGAGCCCCTTTTCAGACCGTGCTCTCTAGGCCTGTCTCAGCCCAAGCACCACCACCGTGATATGCAGGAGCTAGATTCCTTACCTGAAATTCAACATCAAGAAACAATCTCTTCTACTTAAAACTGATAGGAATATCCTCAATCAACGTCCTCATTGGCAGGGGTGAAGCTGGGGAATTTCTTAAAAACTGAGGCCTCTGCCTACCACCAAGAGAACCTGGAATTTTCCATCTGTGCCACGAAGTTCAAATCACTGGCCACTGCCCCAGTGTATGGCAGTGTGAGGCAGATTAGACCATCTCTCCATCTCATGCCATTAAAAGGACACAGCCGGTCTTTATATGCCTCCCAATAAGAAAACACCACCACCTGGGAAGAAGTTTTGCTGAAAAATAAAAATCAAATTTAAATCCTATCCAACTG